AAAAATAAAAACAGACAAAATTAGATGGATTTATAATAAGAGTTTCCGCGCCAGAGATAAAAAAGATTTAAGATTTAAGATGTAATAAAAATGAAAGAATAACATAATAATATTATAATGAAAATATATATAAGATTAACAGAATAATAATGTAATAATAATAATAATAATTTATGGAATGCATTTTTAATGAAATATTTGATTAAAAATAATTGCAATGGCATAGAAGAACATCGACAGAATAAAAAAAAAAGAAAAATATGGTAACCTAATTCTCTCGTAATTTTTTATATTTATAATAAAATATTTAATTAAATCCATAATAACAAATACAAAAAATTTTGCTAAAAAAAATATTATTTTTTAAAAAATAAATTTTACTTGAAATAATTTTTTTTTTAAATAATTTAACTATCGATAAAAATTAGATTAATGTAATATTTGCCATTTTATGCAATAAATTATTTCTTTTTTTTAGTTAAATAACTATAATAATAAATAATATAATATATTATATTATAATAATAATAAATAATAAAATCCATTATTATTTGTTAATTTAATTTTAATGAAAATTACTCATTTTTATATGCAGTTTAATGTTTATATTATTAATGTTTGNAAATATTAATGAATATTATGAATATTAATTATTTATTATGGAAAAAAATTTTTAATTAAAAAAAATTATTTTTTTGAAAATTTCGTTCATAATTTCGTTAAGATTTATTAAAAAAAAATTATATGATTTAATAAAAATACACGAAAAAAATTGTTAAATAATATGACATCTTTTTTTCATATACAATGAATTATACAAGATTTTAATATATTCCTTGATCATCTGTCGTCAATATAATAGTTAAAACAAGCATGATATATAAAAAAGATAATTTATTTATTAAATTAATAATTTATTAAATTATAAAGAATTGAAATTTGTATAAACATCTATCTATAATTATATATAATCTATTTATAATTATATTATATTATAAAAATTTCCAAAAAAAATAAAAAGATATTTACTATCGAACAATGTAATGCTTCTTTTATTAATTATTTAAATAGAGACTTATAATTTCAATAAATAGATAAATAAATAATTAAATAATGCAAAATTTTTTCATTCAAGAAATAAAATTATAGAAAATTTGAAATAATTTGAGAGAAAATATTAAAAATTATTAATATTATCGCTCGAAATATCAAAATCTTGAACTCCTTTAAAACTCAAAAAGTTTCAAATTCTAGACTCTCAAAGTCCTTTTCTATTTTTTATAATAATTTCATAAAACTATCTGCAAGTCTAGATGAAAAATAAAAATTAAATTTTTCACAAGAAAATAAAGATAAAATTAATATTAATATAATTATTTGAAAATATTATTTCTTTTAATACCTAAATCATTATTAATATTTATTATTTACTATTTATATTATAATATAGTAGTAATATAAATATAAATAAGAAAAAATATAGAAAGTACAAGTCAAAAATTAAAAATCTTAAGTATGTTTAGTTCCTAAATATAAATTGAATTTTATATATAATACACAGTAATCAATGCCAATAATAATAAAATATAATAACTAAGTAGAATAAACATACAAAAATATACATATAAA